CTCTGGACGTTCGCGTCGCGGGCAAGCGCGGGGGGCGCGTGGAGCGCACGGCGGAGCGCTAGGAGCCTCCCGCCCACGGGTCCGCCGCGGACGTGCGCCGTCAAACTCCAAGATCCGTGTACATATGCGTGTCCGGGTGAGTGCACCCGCGTTCTCCGCCGTGCTCGGGTTTGTTTTTTCTTGCCTGCGGGGCTTCTGCTTGGCTCCCTGCTGCACGTACGCGATGGGAAGGGCAGGCGTATCCGCACAGACGGGAATCTCTGGGGGTTCGGCGGTGCTTGGAGATCCCTCGCGCGGCGATGGGGGACGCCGCGCGCGGGATAGCCGGACGCGCGACGATGGGTCCGTCAAGCGGACAAGAATCGAGGGTGGCGCGCACCATCTGGCAGAAGAAAGACAGAAGCACGTATGGGCGGGGTGGCGCCCGAGGCACGCGTCGCGGGCGGGATCGTGCGTCTTCTTCCTCTTCCTCTTTCTTCTCTGTGCAGCTGGAGCAGGCCTGAGGCGGTCGATTGGCGCCGCCATCATAACCGTAATCCTAGTCTGCTCCGCGGCGTTCGGTGCGTCGTGCGCTTCTTCTCCCCCTCGGCCGCTGCGCAGAGCGTCAGAATCAGTGCCAGAGGCGCTGGGCTGGTGCTCTGCGCCGATGGAGGACGAGGCGTCGGAGAGCCTGGGCTCAGAAGAAGGGTGGCACGGCCAGGGGCGTCCCGCGACGCGGCTTCTGCGATCCTCTCGACCTCGCTTTCCAATCCCTTACTCTCTGCAGTCCCCCTCGCTCGAGGGAGATCGTGAGCTTCGGCCCTCTTCTGTGACGCACCACCAGCGCATGGCGGTGTCGGGGCGAGAGGCCCGCCCCTCTTCTCCACCGCTGATGCGTATGTCCGGGGATCACGCCCTCCACACGGCGGACCGCCTTCTGGTCTGTGCCACCCATCCACCCATCCATCTGCCCATCCATCTGGGGCTCTACACGGCGGCGGTAGCGTCCTCTCTCTCTCTCGCCCTCGCCCTCGCCCTCATCGCGCGGGCCCAGACTCCGGCCCACCGCGCAGGGTCTGCTTCCGCGCGCTCTCACGCCCGCGCACCCTCCCAATCGCGCAGGCCCGGCCCAGCACCCCCAAATCCGCCCGTCAGCTTCGAGCTACCGACCCGGCGGGAAGGACGCGCACCCCCGGTCCGCCCTCGCCCCTCCCACCCCGCCGCGCCTCGACCGGTGGGCATTCCCTCAGGCTGATTTCCTGAGCTCGAATATCCTCTCTTCTCTGTTCTGTGTTCTCTCATCTGTTTTCTTGGGGCGCACCCACCGAGCGGCGTCGAGCGGAAATGAGCTGGGGCCCGCCCGGGATATCCCACAAGATGGGCCGCGCGGGCGCGCCGGAAATGAGACGGCGGCGGGCGGGGAGAGGCTCGAATTCCAGACGTTCATCTCCAGACGTCCGCCGCCGAAGTGACTTGCCGGCCGCCTCGGCGGGTCGTCGGCAATCCCGGCTGCGCGCGGAGGCTTTCAATTTCGTGGGGGCCGCTCACCCTCTCTGCCTCCGCCTCGGGCCTTTACTCTGCGCTCAGGTTCGCGAGGGGGGAAGGGGCGCGCCCTCGGCGGCGATCAATCGTGCAGGCTGCGGCGCGCGCGCACAAGCGTGTGCGCGGTGGCGAGCGTCCCGGGCGGGCAGCGAGGATACTGAACTCCGGCGGGATGATCGGGCGGCTATCTTTCTGGCAAGCGCGCTTCTATTCCGCGCAGCGCGGGAGGGAGCTCATGTGCCCCCCGCGCTCCCGCCCGCGCCAGGCACGCCCTTCCACGGTCTTGTGAGCGCCATCTCAGATCCTCCGGACTTCACGCACACGGCTCGCTCGCCCTCCTCTTCGAACGGTCCAACGGGCTCTTGTTCCCAACGAGGTCGGGCTCCCGCGCGCGCACCGAGCACCGAGCGTCGAGAAGCGAGGATCGAGGATCGAGGACCGCGGAGCCCACGCCACCAACCGACCGCTGCGGGTTCGCACCCTCATCTGCGCTCGGGAGCACATGCAGGCCGCGCAGAAGGACGCCGTCCTCGATTCTAGCTCGTGCCACTGGCGCCCGCACTCGCCTGATGATCGCCATCGCGGTCCGCCTGCAGCGCCGAGGCGTCCCCCCGGAGGACGGCGGCGCCAACGTGCGTACACATCGCCGGCATCGAGGGCGAGTGCGCAAGTGCGCACGCCGAGAAAAAGGAAAAGAAAAAAAGAAAAAAAAAAGGGACGAAGTGCTGGCGCTCCAGCCGGCCGCGAACGACGTCGAGCAGGGGGGGTCACGGGGACACCGCACGCCTGGGAGCGCGCGGTCGTAGAGAGGCTTCGAGAGGGCCGACCACGCGCGAAGCCAGGCGGTCTGCGCGCCGCGCGAACCCGTTCGGGGCTCGCGAAGGTTGCGCGTTACCCAAGCACGGCCGGCCGCCTCGCGCCGCGTCGGCGGAGGAGGACGTCCCCTCGTCTCGTCTCGTCGCAGCGCACCCGCGCGTTCCCCTCCCACGCACGCGCTCGGGCCCGGGAGCGGACTCCCTTCGCGGCTTGGGGCGCTCGAGCGCGGACGCGGCTCTAATTCCCTGCTTCCTCCCGTCCAGACCGAGCGCCCACGCAGCGCTGGGCTTTCGATGGACGTGGTGCGGCGTACGAGGCCTCGGTCGCAGCCCCGCGGAACGCACGGATACTTACGCGCGGCGAGGTGAGCTGTACCTGAGCGCCGAGCGCGGGAGGCTGACAGATCAGGCCAGGATACCGTCGTTCGTCGTTCGCGGTCGAACGACGGCCACGCGCCCACGCACGTACGGACTGCACCCGGCGCGTCGCGCAGATTGAGTGGCCCGACCGACCGACCGACCGCGGTGCTTCGCGGCCTCTGACGGGTGTGTGTCATCTGTCCCGGCGTGGGCGTGGGCGTGGGCGTCGCGGCTTATTGTCTTCGCTCGATTGGGACGCGGGGGTTCCGACTCGGGGCGCGATGCCGGACCTCAGGCTCAGGTCTCAAGCCCTCGAATCTGAACACCGTGGCGCGCTCGACGCCGGCGGGGCTGTGGCCCGCGGTCTCAGTGTTGTGGTCTGCGGTTATCGTGGCGGTCGCATGGGGCTGCGAGGCGTTGTGGTCGGACGATGGCTGTCGGAGGAGTGCCGCGCGGTCTCACCGGTCGTCGTTGCTCGGCGCAGTGGCTGGCGGCGTCGGGGAGCTCCGCATGTATGCGCGGGACGGTCTCGAGCGCTGTGGGGATTCACCCCGGTATGTGCGGACGTTTGGTGACGTTTCATCCGTGCGTCGCTCACGTATAGGTCGTAATTTCTCAGTCGCTCGCTCGCTCGAGAACTGCCGGCTTCCAAGACTGGTCGGCGAGGACACATTCGATGGGCCTTGCAGCGCTGCGCTATGCATTGTCGTCCGCGGCCCTCGCGCCACGCTCCCACCGCGTCCCGAACCAGGCGCATTGACTCGACACCCCACGCCAGGAAAGGAAGCCCAGTTGCCGTATCCGGAAACTTCGACGCTGGCCCAATGTGTGTGGGGCCCGACAGCGCATCCAGCCCGAGCGGATGCGGGGATGCCGCGGCGCGGGGTGCGTTAACGCGGACGGAAGGGCGTCGGTAAGCGCGGAGATCAGGTTGCGTGGGCTACGAGAGCGTGGTTCGACGGGTCAGACGGCCCTGGGCCGAGCGATGTTGCGGGTTTGGGCCTGCAGGGACCAACGACCTTGGCTGACTCGTTTCTGCTTGCGGGGTTCGGAACCGTCAGGACCGCTGCTGGCCCTCGGGAAAGGGGCGAAGGTTTAGGCCTAGGAGCCAAGCTCTCGTGCCGTACGTGCCCGAACGTCGCATGCGCGATATTGGAGATTTGCTGGCTGAAACGGATTCTGCAGCAGGGGCAGAGCTTCGCAATTGATGTCTTCGGAGGTGGCTTCAGCAGCTCGCCGTGATCTGATCCCCCGTCAACTTCACGACTTGACCGTTTCTCCAAGGCCAAGAAGGGTCAGATTAGCGCGCGCCGACGGCGGAGCCTACCTCCCATGTCCCTCGGGAATAACGAATGCACGACGGCCCAGAATACTGCGCGGTGGAGATGAAGCAGCAGATGAGTCGCAGTATCTGCGCACCCCCTTTTCGAACGCACCGGAACGCTCAGTTCCGACGTCACGATATGGACGCGCTTCCATCCAGACCGCCTGCGACTTGCAACCCCACGGGAGCCGCGCCCCTGTGCATTAGAAGAAGACGCAGCGGCCAGGTAAGTGACAAGTGCCGACATAACACGGCGAGCCGGAACTTATCAAGCGCACGCACGCGTTCGCAGGCGGCTGTGAGGCCCCATTGTGCACCGGGTTAGGACCGGGTCTGTGAATGGCCTCGGGGCGGTGTGCGAAGCCGCGGTCACTTCGGACGCTGTGATTAATGAGCAGGAGAGACGCAGGGCTTCGGTTTCTAGATGCCTGTGCTGTGAAATAGGGCCAGGGCTCGTGTTGCGCGTGCTGCGTTGCACGTGCTGGATTTACTTGGTCTTTGCACGGCGTTGTTGCGAGACATCTGTTTGGACGGTGCTTCCGGGCGTGAGAGGCGACTCGTCAGCATAGAAGCAACCGATGATGCGTTGGCTGCCCGTAACAGTCTAAAAATCGAACAAATGCATGCAAGGTTGGTGTACCAGTGGCGGCGTTGTCCAGTAAGTTCTCCCAGGGCGATCTAGGCCATTGCTGAAGGTGACACACTGGAACAGCGGGTCCACCGCTATCTAATTTCATCCATACCTAAAATCATTCATGGTCGCTTTACGACCAAGACCGTATGCAATCACGGAGCAACTCGATCCTTCTCCGTAAAGCTCAGGGACTCCGAGCTCGTCCCTGTGATGGCGATTCCTTTATAAACCAACGCATCGAGTAGCGGTATGTCGACGTCAGACTCGTACACGCCTACGCACCTCCACCGGATTCGCTCCGCCGACAGCCCGAGCACGAGTGGGATCCGCAGACTCTGCGCCTCGCTCAAGACTTGAAGGCGCGGGTCCGGAACTCTCCGAAGTTCATGCCGTCGCCGCACCTGCAGGTGTCCGCGCTGGCACGGGGACGCGTCGACGTCGACCAGTGGAGCGTGGCGCCCGTACCGATCTGGCTTGGGGGAACGCTGGAGGACGCGGTCCTCCGTGCGCAGCGCGCGGATCTTGCTCTGCGTCCGGCTCTGGGTCAGTGCGAGGCGACAGACGGGGAAAGAGCAAGGTGTGTCTCACCGTGCATCCACCTCGACGGGACCGCACCGCAAGAACCACGCGAGCGTGAAGGACCGCGCGGCTGTCGGGCACTTAGGGTCGTACATCGCGCAGAAGACGGTGCCGGGGAGCGTGGGGGCGTCGAGGCCGGCCGTGGTCAGCGCGAGTGCGCCCAAGTGCGGGTCAAGCTCAGCCGCCCGGTGGTCGACAGCCGTGGCGTAGCTCGTGCGCACTTGGCGTTTGGAGAGCCTAGAAAACACTCAGTGGGGGAGTGGACAGGAAGGGTTCGCCCAGGACCTACCAGTGCGTGATGACAAAGGGGTGGAGGTCGAGACGATGTGAGGGGACTGTATTTGCTCTCTTGTCGGAGTTGTAGTCTTCGGCGAGGTTTTATTTAACCTTGGCGTCTAGCCGTAGTGAGGCGTGATCAGCTCGTTGTCATTGTCGGTCCAATTATTCGGAGGATGGGTATGCCTCCGTGTCGTCGACGTGTCGGTCGTGCGCCGGTGTGCGCAGTAGTGCCTGTTGCAGCACCGCGGGGGCTACTTCGAGAATCGACATCACTCAGGGTGGGATCATAAGATGTCACTGTAGGTGACGCGCAAGCGAAATCGGAAGAGACGGGAAAAAAGAGACCAGAAACATTTGCGTACCGAAGTTTCTTTCAACGTTTAGGGCAAGAACGCTATAAAAATCCAGGCCATGTGTGTTCCAGCAGGTGCAAAGTTACACCTTCCTCTCCGCAATCGTTTGAGGATAGGCCTGTATGCGGTCCAGGGTAGTTGACGTTCAAGGTGCATTACAAGTTCTTGCCAGGCAGCCGATAATAGACGCCTGCCACGTGAGCGCACGGACCGGCTCGACGATTGACGCCCATATGTCTACTTAGACTGGCGTCGTGCACGGCCTGCCAGTCTCGGCGGCACGTGCCTCTGGCGTCTTCCCGAATTCAACTCCCTGCAGGCGCCGGATAAGTGCTAGCGCGGGAGGTGAACATGCGTATAACAACCGCGAAGTCCGCGCGAGGCTCTGGAAATGTGTACAGTAGTGCTGCAATGGCTATATGGAAGCCCACAGGCTCTCGTTATCACACTTCAGAGCGGTCGTTGTCGCATGTGATGATCTCACCACATGATTCTCCTTGTGACTATCACAATTACATCGTTTCTCTCGCACCTTTTCCAGATTCGTGCTTGTAGTAGTATATATTGCTCTTGTACAACCAATTGGACATTTTCTGAGTACGTGGTGGTGTTTTTGCGCTCAAGCGGGCAATGTGGTCATAGCTAGAATATTTGACAGATTTTGGACTCATTTTATGCCACAGGCGCTCAATCCTCATCCCACGGACTCTGACGTGAAAAACTCGCCCCCAGAGTGTTTTTTCGTCAAACCATCACATCAATTCATGCAGAACTATGTTTCTCACAGGTTGATGTGATGATTTGTGGCTACGGACGTTCTTGACATTGTTTTTCAATTTAGAGGATTGGTCAATGGCGTCCCCCCGCCAAAAGAACGAGCGCTTGTCACGTGATGTGGCAGGCCGTGCGCGACGCCAACCTTTTGTCTTTAACTACAACCATCGTCACCATCTTCTACTCGTCATGGCGGACGTGGGCCTATATCACAACAAGCATACAAGAAGACACGACTGCGATATTAAAACACCTCGTCGATGCTACTAGCAATTCAGCACCAGACATGTCAAATACTTCGGCCACAAGCTTTACCGTATGGTCCATGGACACATCCCTTTAGGTCTGTCGTTCATTCTTATTGCTCTCGTTTAATTTGCCCAATTCTGGTTTGTTGTCTTGTGTTAGAACCTCGATGCTCGTCTGCGCCAGGTCGAGCACAATGATCACGCCCCAGGGCGGCATTACTCCCACCGGCCGTCCATGCGGACGTCCCCGAGTCAAATCGGACGAATATCTAGCAAAATGCCACGGTGCGCAGACCAATTGTAGCGGGGTGCAGGCGCGTCTAAGTCCTCCCCCGATCTCAGGCAGCAGTCCCGCTCTGTTCCTTCGGTCTCAGCAATGGACGAAGCGAGCACTGCGCGCCCTCACCGCGCTAGCCGCATGCGGCACGCACCCTCCGAGCACCGATCGCGAAGCTCTCTTCGAATCCGAACCGAGGCACGCACGGCTCCGTAACGCGGGCGAAGGTTGCGCGTTACGCGATGGTGCGACCGTCCCTCCGGTGTGTCTCCTCGACTTACCTCACCCGGAACTCTGCCAGGTTGCTCCAGCGGGTAGGGGGAGATGGACCAAACGCGTGAGGTATGCGATCTGTGCGATTTCAGATTAGCTACGCCCGGAGTGGCGGGTCGTGCGCCTCGAAGAGCCTTCCGATCGACCGCGGAGCTTGTGTCCGTCAGGAGGCTCTTTCATTGAGAACCGCCTCTATTTCCTCCTCAAACTTACTCTCCTGGTCTACTCTTAGGCTTCATCGTGCCATAATCGAATGCCACCGCACACTTGAAGACGCCGAAGGCCATATGCACAACCCGTGAGCCAATCCACCGATATAAGCGCCCTTGACTTACCGCCTCGCTCACGACTCTTCCCCTCCTTCGTCCACCCCTCGTCGAATCTAGGACATCACCCGGCTATCTTGTTTCACTTTTTTCACGCCCTCATCCCACCACCCGTCATCAGCTGCCCGCGCGCGAGCGCCAGTCGGCTTATTGTCTTCGCTCGATATGGGCACCGCTTCCTATCGCTCTCGCTCGCGCTGGAACCTTTCCTCAAGCTCTAGCGCACCCCGTCGTGCAGGGGCCTCGTGTTTGGGTCTCAATTTTCTGCTTTTGTCTCGCAGGGCGTCGCCATGGGACCCGAGCTAGTCGTCGTCGAGGACGAGGGGGCGATGAGGAGCCCGGAGCCGCAAGATGAGGCCACTTCGCACCGCTCCCAACGGCCCCGCGTGGTCCTTCCCGGTATTGGCGGCGCATCGCAGCGCGTGTCGCGCACACCAACGCCGGCATCGGGCCCCGTCTCCTACCGACGGCGTGCCTCGGACGAGAGCACACGACGGACGGAATACTCGGCATCCCGCCCGCACCGCGCCCGCCGGAGACCCCTTCTCTCGTGCCTCATGGGGCTTCGTTTCCAATACCCGTCAATGTCCCCGTGTACTTGCGCGCCGCGGCTCCGTGACCTGCAGTGGGATCCGGGTCGACTCGACACATGCGCCTTAAAATGGTACTATACTACGCATTTGGTAATGCGTCATCGTGACTTGTTCACCCGGTTCGTCCTCCGTAACCTCGTATGTAGAAGACGAGGCCGCATATATTGGGCTGACAACGGACAGGACAGGCGCAAATCCTCTAAGATAACCCGCACATCAGTCCAGGCTAGTCTGAAGGGCCGCGCGGCATCCCTGCTGACTGCAAGGAGGCTGAAACCGTTAGGATTTGCTTGCCATATGAAGAGAAGAATGGCTGACTTGGATTTGCGTGTACTTTCAGGGAACCGTTTCGGCTGCCGCGACGGTCGGGGGCTGACTGGGTGTCAGCGTACACGCCGCGCCAGGCTCCTCGACTTCCTCACAATCTCAGACTTCCTTGACTCACCAGGGTTGCGACGCGGGGCCAATCGCCCGAAGACCAGTTCTATTGTGCAGTGAATATAGGTATCGTCTGGCTGCATGCAGGCGCAACCTACTTTATTGACTACTTGCATAGTGGTGTCTGCGGAGAGCCGTTTCCGAAAGGGCGTCTTCTATCTGACTCCTTCGAACGCTCACGATCCAAGGTACGTACCTCCCCTCCCGCGCTTTTTCGTTCTCGATCTGACGGATTTCTAGATAGACCTGGTCGACACGCTCTAAACGCGCACCACACGGCCCTGGTTCTTCAGGCGCATGCCAGCGATTCAGAAACCGCGGTTTGCGCTCAGAAACGTCACATCGGTGCATGAGACGTGAGTCCGCCCGAGCTATGTCCCTTCGAAGCTGACTCCGCCTGATCAATGTCGATGTTGGCCTCTCACAGTCTACTGGAACTCCCATTGTCGACCGTATTCGGATGGTTCCGCGGTCCGGATCGCGCGCAGGCGGGCAGTCTCACGCGGGGTTGCGACGCAAAGGTGAGTCAACGGTGAGCCATTTTCTCGGGCGTCGACTGAACGTGGTTGATTCTAGGGGCAGCCGCGACTTCGCAAAGCGATCCATCGTTGATTGCATACCCGGCAACACGCGATATGTCTACTGTTGAGCACTAGCGGAGGACATGGCGCCGCCATTTCTGCAAAAGTACACATCCCCGCTTTCCGCAGCTCTACTGTGCAGCCAGAATACCCTCGTACATCCTGGCTCCCGTGTTCCCAGCCCGGCCTGCATCATGCCCGAGAGGATCGAGAACCGCGGAAGGTCCGTCCGAGCCGCGGGGCGCTCGCATCCTCACGGAGCACATGGCGCGCTCGTGCGAGAAGGAGGGCCGACGGCGTCCTAGCCATGAACGCCGGCGAGTGGTTCTAGCTCGCGCCACTGGAGCTCGTACTGACCTCGCTTTCTTTCGCCGACATCCTCGCTCGTCCGCCGACAGCGTTGAAGCGTCCTGGACCGTCGGCAGCGTGGATTCGCGCGCACGTCAAGGCCGACGTCCTCGAGGTGGCGGCGCAGCTTCGACTTGTTCCGGCCCCGGGCGCACGTCGATGTCGATCACGGGAACGCAGCGCGGGCGTAGAGAGGCGGGAGAGTCCACAGACGCGTCGGCCGGCAAGCGCGAGAGGAACGTGGGCCCTGCTGGGTTTCTGCGCTCCACGTGAACCTTCGGGGGCTCGCGAAGGTTGGGCATCACCCAAGCGCCCCCGCGCCGCGTCGGCGGAGGACGGTGACTCATCTCGAACCTGGCGTCTGCGCGCGCGTTCCCGCGCGAGGTGCGCAATTTCCTCTCTTGCTCGGACGAAGGTCACGAGCTCACCCCGCGTTCGAAGGTGCAGAAGCCCGCTGTTATGCGCTCGAATCGGCCTTATGCGGCCAGCCCCGGGAACCCTTCGCGGCACTGGGTGGGGGCTGGCCGCATTGAGCAGGGATGCAGCTCTAATTCGATCGCTCCATGACACGGTGCTTCGGGCATGTTTTTCCCTAAGCGGCCACGCTGGGACTCCGCGAGCTCACTGCGCACGTCCTCTTCGTTTTCGAGGGACGGCGCGCACGGGCCCGAGATCGTAGGCTCGCAGAAGGCGCTTATAGTGAACCGTACTGCACCGGAGCTCAGGAGGTTATGCAACAGCCCATGTCCGTGAGTCCTTATGCACGCCAAGGGCTTTGGCTCCCAACGCTGACCCCAATCCCACAGCACGGTATGCACCCGCGCGCGGGTGGAACCGTGCTGGATCCGACACGCCGTCGCTCGCAGATTGAGTGGCCCGGTCTAAGCATTTCGTCTTCACACGCCGTCTTCCGGCCGACGCGCTCAAGTTGCGCACCACATGACCCTGGTGCTCGGTTCTTGCACCCGCTGGCGACTCCGACATCGCAGTTCGAGTGCTGGTCGCACATTAGACGTGAGTAAGCCCGAACGATGTCCGTGCGAAGTTCCCTTATCCCGATTAATGCCGATACTCGTGTACGCGGCGTGTTCCTCACTGGTCCAGAGCTCATGAAAACGTTTGAGGATGCCTCTCGCAGACTCGTCAGAGCTGGTGTACGACATCCGCGACGCGCGAGGCTTCCCAAGTGGCTGGGGAGTGGAATCACAGTCGAAATCGACTATCCCGGGTCTGGCCGATGACGTCTACCGCCGTGCCGCCCACAGCTGACCTATCCGCGCGCGCTCCCCCGGACCCTCCCCGACCGCTCAAGTTGGAAAAATCGCCTGACCAAACGTTCACAGTCAACAGTCATTGAAGTCTCGGCTTGATCCCCAGTCACACAACCCAAGAAATGCGGCGGTGTGCCGTCATGGGCAGGCGATGCTGTCCGAATCTCCGTGTTTGGATGGACGCGAAGCGAATTTCGGTGAGAAAGCGTTATATTGTCGCGATGGCTGAATAGATCTTATGCTCGGGCCCCCCAAAATTCGAGTGTAGCTGCCTTATGGGGATTACACTCCGATACTGCACACATAGTGTGGAGACCGGCAAACTCTCTTTCGCTTCCTGGACCCGCAGGAAGGTTGTCATTTCAACACCCGCACAGATTGTCTGAACGACAGTCTCTCTGGAGCTCCCACTTGCGGCCTTTTTTGTGAGTTTCATAGCCTTCGTGTTGTATGTCTGACTG